GCCCAATGACCGCAATGATAATAACAATAACAATGGTATAGGTGCCTGTAGTTTGCATTTTCATGGGTCTGCTCGAGCTCGATTATTAATGCTACGACCATGAACTTCTTTTGCTCATCTTTGATGTCTCGTGTGAAAAAATGGCACCAAAGACACGAGCGCGTAACTTTGTGCCCGATCATCGCGATTGATAAGCTAACCAGTCCTACATTCATTAGACACAACAAAAATCAGATTCATTGTGCGATGCACCAAACACACTGGAGCCACTGTAATCCTGTATGGAATTAGAAAATTAACGAGCCAAATCAAAGGCGATGATCGTCAGCAAATCAAAAAGCCAGCCGAGCGACCCTCCGAACAAACAGCTGCGCGCGAGATTTCGGGCGCGGAGTGCGCACATAAGCCGGACGGTAGGTGGTCCGAGAGGAAAGTTAAAAAAAAAAAAAAAAAAACACGAGCAAAGGGTCTTTGTGGCACGCGCACGGGGTAATGCGTCTTTTTCGGGGCTACCCCCAACCACCGGGGGACTCGGGAAAAGCTTATATACGTGTATGTACACATCCACGTACGTATACACGTACGGGTCCGTGATCATCAATCAGGGAGCTATTGCGCTCTGCTCGGATTCTCCTATCCTGTATATCCTACATCCCTCTATACATGTATACACACACGGTGTATACGCCACCGCAAGTTTATACAGTATTTATTTTCATTATGTCACTCTAATGCCCCGTGTATACATACATATAGTATCCTTCTTTCGGCCTTCTCTGCTGTTGTTGTCCTGGCGCTCGAGGTCACCGAGTCATCTCTCCTCCTTTTTTTCCCGCCTCTTCTCTCCACTTGGCCATACTTTTCTACTTTTTTCATCTATAAACTTGTTGGTTTTTTTTTTTTTTTTTTTTTATTTTATATACGTGCTTAAACAAGTTTTCATCTCTTATTTTACACTTGCTGCAGGCGTTGCTGCCCTTGATGAGATCCCCCAGGGATTTAACGAGACTTGAGATGGTAGATCGTTTTTGTCCAAACGTTTTACTCACCATAAAAGTGTTTTACAGAAAGTTGATCAGGGCTCTGAAAATTGTCGAGTGTAATGATGCAACAAGGGAAAATAAAGGAGTCAACGAGTGGAAACCTATATATGCGATAGGCTTGGGACGCGATCGAAACTTGTCTGACTAAATCCTCCGTTTATCCCTTGGCGGTGCTGCAAAAATACATACCTAAGGTCTCGCAAAAGTCCATCGCGAATCCAAGCCAACTTTGGACCATCCCTCAACGAGAGACCTCCGAAATCCAGCTCGATATATCCCGGAGGCGTCTGACGCGGCTAGTCGCTTAGTCGGAGCGCCGGGCCTTATTTATAAATCGAAGGCGGGAAAGAAAGGAGAATACTTTTTTTTTTCCCTCCACAGCTCCCGTTGGACCGGGCGCTGTCTGAAAAAGTTTGGTTGCCTGCTGGTGCTTTTTACGGGGGTAGGGCTCGATGACTTTTCTTTCCCTCGGCTTGTGGAAGCGAGAGCTTGGACCTGCAACTCGCGATCGCTCAGCCTCGACGCGAAATAAATAACAAAACTCACTTCCAGGGCCACCTTGTCTGCTCCGCTCTTCGCTTCGTGCCATTTTTTTTCTTTTCTTTTTTATTTACTCCTATACACTGGACTGTAGTTTAAAAGACTTTTTTTTTTTTGCAGGATTGGGATTAAAAACCGGTTTTTATGCACAAAGTACCTAGTAGAAGGAACCTAATCGTCCGAGTATATCATTGCGAATCCTTTTTCAAACGACAGTTCTCACTCGGTATGGATCAAATGGTGATCAATTGAATATTTTTCTAGTAGAGAAAAAAAACTTTTTATTTTTCTTCGATCAACGGATAACTCTTGTGGACAACAATGGTTTTAAAGTCCTCCAACGTTTTGAATGATTCACCGGAGAAAAAAAAATAACTGACCCCAATAACTCCCGAAAACAAAGCATCTGCTTTTTATCGATCCATCCGCATCGGCTCAAAATAAACGCTCGCACGGACGCACTTCTCTGTCCGTATCACGCAGGCCGATAGACGAAATACACACACGCCCAAAGTGTCGGAAGCGCCGATGTTCCTAATTGATCAAGCGCACCGGGAGCCTCGCATTCGAGCAGAGCCCCGTCAAGCTTGGCTGGCGCGTGCATTAGACAGCGTCTGCCGATGTTGGTATATTTATATCGGCAAGGGGTAGGACATGCTGCCGATGGCTCCTTACTCATCGGAAGGTGTGTTTTGCCCTCGAGCTCAAACGCTTACGTGTGTACACATTGGTGTACACCTACGGGGCCGTTCACACGATATTCGTGCGTGATTTTGTGTGAATAGTAAATAAAATTACTCGTCGTTCATAAACTAATGTTACCGCCAACACCTCGGTTTCAATAGCCCTTTTTCACCATTTGGCCGATCGATTCATCAGTCGAGCTTTCAGCTGGTGCAGAATCGATGCCGCAGTCAACATACTTGGCTGTACAGCCACACCCACAAAACTATAGTTTCAATCGACATGGTCCAACGTTTTATGTGTATCCCCGCGGAGTAAGCGAATATCGCTACATGTGAATGCGTTAGCACTACAGGGGCTACATCAGAAGAGTCACGCTGTATGTGCCCAGGTAATGGATGGGGTGCAAGAGAAGACACACCCTTTTGCCTTTCGATGTCTGATATCGTGCTCGAGTCGGTCTTTACTTTCTGGAAGCAGATTTTCACGGTCGGGAAATGATTGCCCGCGATCGCCGCTGCCTCGGGTCTACAAAAGTCTTCAGTATTTTATTACAATGGATTGTGGATCGGTTGGGTTATTTGATAATATCTTTATGTTCAGGTCGCAATAAAAAGCTTTTCCTTGCATTTTGCCACGTTTTAAATTCCAAACGAGATTGTAAATTCTGTTGACGATTATTTCCTGCACCGATCAGCTTGAATCGTTACCAATAAGTATCTGATTTTAACTCGTATCAGTTCTTCTTTTCCAACTACGTTACCTCAGCATTATTATATGTGGCTGCATAGCTATGGATTATGAGCCACCAAAGTGAGCTCGATGTATTGTAAAAGTCAAGTATATGAAGATTAACATTAAAGCAACGCTTTGCGTTTTCATATAGTGTTAAACCTCGTTACGGGGACAGTGCCAGAAAGACAAAATTGAAAATTCCATCGGAGACGAGTCGTGAATCTTCTCGTCACTTCCACGGCTCCTCCCCTCGATTGACAAACACCACGGCTCAGCGCACGTAGCGAGAAGCGCCTCGTTGACTTCAATCCGAACATCCAAAGAAAAAGTATCGAATCGTGTAGGTACAGGAGCAAGGTGCCGTGCGCCCCGAGATTCTAACAAAGACAGTGAGCCAGAGGGTGGGAGCGTAAATCCCATACATCCAATTAGATTCGTATAATCCTACAACGCGTTAGCACGCGTCTCCCCGTGCATATCTATACATATACACAGACTCTGCCCTTGTGTCCTGTATGTGTACGTGTGTACATTATGTGGAGCTTGCAATGTACATTTGCCATACGCATGTGTATGCCATATATGTATGCACACACAAGTGCTCATTATTCGCGACTACAGGTGTATATAGTATTATTATATAAGTGCACGGATGATGTAGACGTTGTGCAGGTGTACTTGTTGGTTTGCCCGTATTCTCGAGCACAGCCGTATAGGTACGACAATGCTGGAATAACACACAGAGCCCCTTTGAACGTAAGCGGAGCGAGTACCGGAGAACAGAGGGAGAGAGCGTATGGGTCCTCTGCTTCCACCAACTCCGTGCATCTCGCTCGCAATGGAGATCACGAGCGTGCCTGCGCGCGCGCGTTAATGCTTAAGTACTAATTTATGAGGGCGCGTAGCTTCTCTCTCTCTCTCTCTCTGCTGTGCAACAGTATAATATATACACACACCAACTACGAGGAGAACTCGCGAAAGCTCGAGCGAGACAGCTTTCGTATCCCAGGCCCACTCGCTTTCTGCGCTAGGTGTACAATATACCATGTATACATATACATACATACGCAGCTCTCGCATCCCGGAATACGGTGTGGTAGTGTACGTGCAGCCGTAGGAGCAATAATAATAGTGGTAGTGGTGGTGGTGGTGGTGGTGGTAACAGAGAGCAACAGGGAAACGAAGGGAAGCGAGCCGGCGAGCGGGCTTTGCATGCGATATCAATAAATCAAGTCGCCAGGAACCAACCGAGCTTATAATATGTATGTATATACAGAGAGGGTGGTGCTGCTACTGCTGTATCATCTGCTTTTCGGCCGGGGGATGGGTACCACCACGGTACGTGGTCAGAATCAACAGCTCATAACGTCAGCTAATAGCTGCTCCTGCCGAGGCGAGACGACATAGTGCTTGTCTTCCCTACCCCACCCAAGATATTGTTGCTACCCCTTGGATCGAGGGACACTACCTTATTGTATTGTGCGAGTTCGGAACATTACTTTTGGGGGCTCTTACTTGGCTCTGATTCCGTTGTTGCTGATGTTGGTGTTTTCACGCCAACTTACGATTACACTGCGCGGATTTTTTTTTGCGTGCAATAAGAAATTGGACGTAGTAGCGGGAGTGGGACGTTTGCTTTACGTTTTTTAAGAGCAAATAGGAAAAGGTATTAGCTCTGGGTTCCGTTGATTTTTTTTGTTACTCCTTCGTTAATAAGTATTGTTTTTAGCTTGGGGTTTTAAGGTAATTTGAACATTTTTTTCACGAGTTGTACGATGGAAAATATGTCTTTACGTGTGACCTCCCCTTTGTTCGATTACAATAGTTATATGGTCCATCAAACCAGATCGTGAGATCTAGCCAAGGGTACATTTAAAACTCTCATCAAAGTGATAAACGCTTGTAATGATTTTAATGCCGTAACAATTATTCAAGCACAACATAATGAATTAATTTCTTTGTTTTTTTTTTTTTTGTTTTTTTTCAACAAACAATTAGGTGTGGTTTCAAAATCGCCGAGCAAAGTGGAAGAAGCGCAAGAAGTCAACCAACGTGTTCAGATCGCCGGGCTCCCTGCTGCCGTCCCACGGGCTTCCGCCCTTCGGCGCCATGAGCTCCGAGCTCTGTGGCGCCGCCGGGATGTTTCACGCGCCCACCGATCGATGGGGAATGGCTCCAGGTTCGTGTGCACCACCACCGCTATCCTTCTCTCTCTCTCTCTCTCTCTCTCTCTCTCTCTCCACCTTCACACAATATCGAAGCTCGGAGTATGTATTTATATACACCTAGCTCTATTACCACGCCTCGCATCGTCCTTTTAATATTTTAAAAAGGCTTTTAGCCCCTTGTAGTCTTGCGTGCCTTGTACACGTATTCCGTATCGACAATGCGGGGCTGGTGATACAGGGATACCTTTGTGAGATATAATTTCTTTTTATGCTAAATTTTGTATTCTTCTTGTTTTTTTTTTTTTTTTTTTTTTTTTTCTCAAATAAAGTTTTCAGTTTATACGACGGAATTGGATGCACTTAAAAATCGCTCACTTATGCAAGCCGCGGCTGCTTTTTTCCTTTTCGTTATTGATATCCGGCGTAAGGTATCGATTCGGGTATTTTTATCAAAAGAGCTCGTGAGTGGAAAGTAATTATCGGCGGGTGTGATTTTTCCTCCCCTGATATCCACCGTCCGCGGTATCGTTGGTTTCACCGAGAAAAATCACGCTCGTGATACTTTATTTCCTCTTTATGAGGGAGCATCGACAGATTTTTCGATAATCCGTTCTGTCGGAGAGGAAAACTTAGTTTTTTTCGATTGATACTTTGTTTCTATGCCTGAAAAATAATTTTATTCCATTTGTATTGCGAATCGACCTGAATTTTACCAAAAATAAAATTTTTAATTTTTATACCAGTATTATTTTAAAATAAACTATTTCAACTCCGAGTCCCATGCAAGCTCCATTGATGCATGCGTTGGTTCGAATAATTTCTCGTAGAGTCGAAAATCATTTTGATGAATAACAAATTGAAATAACAAACCTCAGGTCTGGGCCAATTGAGCCAAGGTGGCATGAGTATGGGCGGTTTTGGCCAGAGTCTAGGCCAGCTGGGCCAACAGAGCTCGGGGAGCTTGGGCACGAGTCTCGGGCTAGGAAACAGTGGCCAGCTCATTAGCAGTCCCTCGCAGACGGTCTATCAGGCCAGCTATGGATTGAACACTCTTGGTAAGTTGCACTCTGATATACAAAAGGAGTGGTGGGTGAGGTAATATTTTTTTCTTTTTTTTTCATACTTTTGTTATTCATTCGACAAGTTTTAGTGGAGCATTGTGTTACTGAACAAAAGGTGAATTGAATGCTTCTGTACCTCGGCTTGTACTTGAGGATTTATGTCTGTTTGCTAGGCTATATAGTGTGTTTTTTGGGATTCAAGGTATATTGAAACTTAAACAACAAATTCGGTTTAATACAAAAAAATGTTTTTGCAACAGCCGAGTCGTATTCTGTAAGTCTTTAATTTTAATTAGGTAAACATTTTTTGTTGAAAAAGTATTTTTGCATACACAAAGACATGAATACTTACATTTGTTGGAAAAAATTTTTTAAAATAAAAATTCCCGTAACTCTATACTCTGGAATAGTATTAAGCTTGAACCAGTATGAAAAATCAGGTCGTATAAAATATTAGGTAATGCAACTGAAATCGTAGCTTAAAAATAGCAGCTTCGAGCTTAAAATATGTAAGCCAGCCGTTTACTGAAAAGTGATGAAGCATCAACTTAATTTCTAACAGAATTTTTTAACCACGGAAAAGGGCACATTCTCCCGAATTTCTTCAACTATTTTACCTAAAGAATTTCTTATTTGTTTCTCGAAGAGAAAGATGTTTTCTCGCTCGTAAAAAAGTTTTATTGCTCCACGTGATGAAATTGAAGAAAACTAAAAATTGATTTTGACACTATTTGAGATCATTTATATTTTCATTAAGAAACTTACTTTTGAGAGAATACAGGGACAAGGCAGAAAAAAAAGAAAACACTAGAATCGATAAAATGAAAAAAATCGGGTCACATTAAAGCTCATTTCGGTGGCCGTCGATTGCAAGAATTATTTATCATCCAACGTGCATCGATAACCTCATGGACATCTCGATAACATCCTATTAATATAAAAGGAAAGCATAAACTCACATCACTAGTCCTAAAACACATTGTCATCACAAAGGAAATGCTCATCCAAAAGAATTGTCTTTTTTTTCTTTGAAAAAAAAAAAAAATAATGAAAAAACAAGCATCGCGCGAAAAGTGCGAGAGAATTCGCGAGTGTAAGTTCGCACATGTGAAGCTGTCGAAAAGAACAACTTTTCGGAAAAGAAAAAACAAGGAGGAAGGTATGAAAGAAAGAAAAAGAAACGGAGGAAAAAGAGAGAATCCGAGACAGAAGACAATAAAGCGAGAAAGAGGCAGCGAGCAGCCTCGGCTGTTTGCTCGTGATTCTTCTTCTCTCTGCTCGGCTCGTCGCACCTAGGTGCGATATCTCAAGTCTTCTCTTTCTCTCCTGTGGACAGATAACTCACCCGTATACATACCCATATACGTTATAGTTCGCCTGTTGGATGTTTACCAGCGAGAAGGATAATGTGTGTACACTTGAAACCTCGCGAGATGCAACCTGTCTTCGCTCGTTCAACGAGAAGCTATACGCTCGCGTGTGCGTGATGGTTATACAGTATACACTTATACAGGCGTACTTTATGTGTACTTACACATGCTCATTTTTATGCGGTCCTCATTCGAAGTATCTCACTGTTTGAAGGCTAGGACTTTTGTGCGCGAGTATGATTAAATGAAAATTTCAACCGGTTTTCGTGTAGCTGGGATGAGAAGTATTGGAAATGCGATGAGTAGTGTTTTTTTTTTTTTTTTTTTTTTTTTTTTTTTTTAGGCCAAAAAATAATTGAAATAAATTAACGCTGAAACAAAATAATTGTATACTTCAAAGATTTTTATCAGCAATTTTCAAGCCAAAGATGAATAATATCAATTCAAACATTTTTTTGCAATTTTTGAATAATAATAAAAATAACGTAATAATTTTGCGGAATATACTGTTTTAGAGAATATAGTTTAAAGTAAAAATTTGTTCTAATGCAAATATTCAGATGTAATTATATTAGATCAATCTAATTTAATAATAAGTAATTTTTAAAAGAGCTGTAATTATGTAATAAATGTGCAAAAATAAAAATATGGACACAATTATAGATTCCATAAATATTATAGTGTTTTTCTGAGCAAATTGGTTAATTTAATCAATCAAACTGTAGAGTAAAATAAAAAAAAATACAAGGTGAATGAATAGCTATAAATGATCGCTCATGTAATTTAAAATAAACAAATTTTTCAATAACGGGTTACAAAAGTCAAAAAAAGAATTTTTCTGTTTAAAATTGAACAGGATACACACAGTTTGCGTAAGTTGCATTTGACACAAATGTCTTGTTCAAGATACACAAATTTTGCGTATTTCAGCCTTATGTTAACTATTATTTGTGTACTCATTAACATTATTTTAAGTAAGAAAATACACAAAATGTTTCAATGTTGACGTTTAATTTTTGTAATTCAGTAAATTACACAAAGTATTCAACTGTGTACAATTTAAAACAATATACTAGTGTCTTGATTTACATTGATAGTTAGAGATACATTTGTCTGTAAACAAAATTTTACCGTGAAAGACAACTGCAAATAAAATTTTTTCTATTGATTGAATGGAAATTAATACTCAATCTTTGAGTTGAAACTATTAATTTTTTTGATTGTTATTTCATAACTTGTCAACAGACACTACAATACTTGAATTAACGCTGACTAAACAATTTTAAAAAACATGTGCCACGTGTTTGCAGTTTTACATTTATTTTGGTATTGCTTTACGTAAATTTGGTTTTGATCTTGCGATACAAGTTGTATATCATTCCCAAATCTGGTGTCACGTAAATATTCATGAACTATATTTAATGTATGCTATCACCTATTCCTACACCATGGAGCAATCAGAGAAAAAAGATTCAAAGATAAATGAATCAAGTCAGCCATCGTGTACATTATAAATTCCAACAAATCATCGGTATGATTTATAACCTCAGTCGGAAACACGTGTCCATACATATTAAAACTCATTGAAAACACCAATTCGGTTGGTCTCATTCAAGCACCGTTGCTCGTGAAAAGCTCCACTAGAAAAAGTGCAAGGACACCCGAGCGGGGTTTCTTTCCGTTGCTTGCCGCGGAGAAATTACGTGGCAAGTAGAGTACATGTGTCATAAGCGTATAGCACTCGTATCTCGCCTCCTTGTGCGTACACGTGGATCTCACGTCCGACACCTGCGTCTTCAATTATCACGTATTATCGCTCGAGTTTCGTTTTGCGAGGGAGAAGGCGAAGAAGGGCAGAATGCAAGCTCGAGGCAAGAAAAATACACAACAGCATTGGAGCATCTTTTATATCGCGTTTACCGATCCTTTGATGTTGGTCTTTTGTGTACCTACTGACTTTTTAATTAATGAGCCATTCACCTCAACGAGAGTAAATTAACTCTTACCTAAGTGCTAAAGGAGACATAATCGCCTGCTGACAGAAATAAGTGGCAGGGCTGTTTGCAAAAATACGAGCTCGACGGAAAAAAAAAGAGAGAGAGAGAGAGAGATAGATGAAGATCGAAACTAGGTACGTCAGCTTCGGCAGTAACGCAGTGCACAAACAGCTTTTAGAGCAGGGCTTATTTTTCACTTTTCAATAATGATTAACACCCCGGCGTAACGTGTTCTCAAGCCGCGGCCCCTCTATCTCTCTCCTCTTGTCTACGAGGTGTCAATTAACTCGCACGCTTACGTGTACGCGCGGTACGGAACGACTAATCCTTCCCGACAACGACGTTTGCTCTTCTTAATGTGCCTCTACGGCAAGTTTGCTGGCAAAAACAACAAAAAAAAACGGACAAGGTGATTTTGGAGCACTTGGTGAATTCGAGGTGCTGGGTGTTAAAATCAGTTTTTGTGGTGTCGTAATTGTTTGGATTTTTTAAGAGGCAGTGGAAAAAGGCTACCCCAGAAAAGTGTCGAAAAAATCTCATAGAATTTCTCAACAAAAAAAGATAATTTTTTTTTTCTTTGAATGCACAGACCGTGCATTATATTGTTCAACACAGGTTTAACATACAGTAGTACTGAAAACTATTAAATTTGCATCTTTCTCCTTTGTTCCACTCGAATGGTATTAGACCTCTTCCAGCCGACAGAAACTTTACGGTACCTCCTTGAACTTCAGTAACAGACAGAATACACGTCCAATCGAAACTTATCACGTCTCAATATCTCAAATGGAAAAGTCGTAAAGAGGACCAAGAAAAGCACCATAGCAGATACGACATTGCCGTCGCACGTAGGTGCAAAGACCACCGACGACGAGTTGGTCGTTCCCTCATCATATCGGGTGCTTGCTAGCTTGCAGCTCAGGAATGGAAAAGAATCCCTGCCCGCCGCGGTTACTCTCTTTACGAGCGTCGGTAGCTCACATGTCATAGGTAGGCTACGCTCCTCGATGCTCTGAGCACATATACTACCGTGCATTAGTAAATGCACCCGGCATTTTCACCTCCATCTTCGTCTTTTTCTTTTACGTGAGTTTCGTAGAACGCTTTATAAGTGTATTTGCCAAGGTTGTATATACGAAATGGGAGGGCACGGTAGGAAAAAAATGCGTGAGGTGATTAAACGGCGGAAGGGTTCTTCTTTTTTATTGGATGTTATCTGTCGTGATTTTTTTCGGAAGGGTTTTCGTTGTTTACCGAGTGAATTGTTTCATGTGAGAAATATCTACTTTTTTTTTTTTCCTTCGTGAGGTCTCAAGGGTACACATGAGGCTAACCGTTGTTTCCTACATTTTATTTTTCAGTCATATTAGCACTGAAACATCTTCGGTGTATCTTAAAGTAAAAATTCTAATCATAAAACTTGAATAAAAATTAAATGATAGCATATACTGCCATACGTATTTTCATTTCCCATTGAAGAAATAACGTGGGATTATTAAAGATTTAAAAATAATTTTTTATTTTATTTTAAACAATACTTAATCTGCTTGAAAATATTTAATCTGTATTGAGTAGAGTTAGAGACATCTGCTAATTTTTTTTGTTTT